CAATTTTTTTTACTTCTCCAGGAGTTGAGAACAAAACATAGATTAGAAATTCATCACGAAGGGGGCTGGTGTTACAGGGATGCTGGATAATGCAGCACGTGCGATGTGGGCATCCCATGTGGGAAGCTCTGGTTTGAGTTTCACCTGCTCTGCTTCTGATCCAGTTTGCTGCTAATGCCAAATCCTCAGGGCCCTGCTACTCATGGAGTGGAACCTGAGTGGCATTCCTGGTTCCTGGCTCAGCCTGACCCAGCCCTGGCTGTTAGTGCCATTTGGGCAGTATATGAGCAGGTAGATCTCCCTCTGCCTCTTAACCCATCTCTGTCACTCTGCTTTTCTAATACATGAATTTTTTAAAAAAGAATTTGTTAGAGAGAGCTAGAAATCTAGAAATCAGCAATTTCCCATAATGAGATAGGTTTATTTTTATTATGTAATGTTTCTCAGCCTTACTGCTTTTGACATTTTGGACAGGATAACTGCCAGGGAGGCGTAGCATCCTTGATGTCTGCCCACCCATTGCCAATAGTGACCACCTTCCTTCTCCCCTCTCCCATGTGTGACAACCAAAAACGTCTCCAGACATTACTGTAATAATATGCAGGCTTGACAATATACAAAATCATAACAATTTTGGCTGTATTAGGTGTACAGTAGATGTACAGTAGATTCTGTTGAAGTTCTTCCCTGTGATTCCAGCAGCGATCTGAAGGAAGAGCAAACAGGACTTTCTCTCCCTGTTTAATAAATGCAGGTGCTGAGGACAGAGACTAAGTCACTGTAGCAAAGCGAAGTGTAAGTAGTATACTACTAGTTATCATAATAATAGTAGTAAGTACTTGTTGTAATTAGTGATAACTGTTTGTTGAGTGTCTGCTCTGAGCTGGGCACTGATTTACATATTAATTTTGTAACAAGCCTAAGAAGTGCTATCTTTATTTTATACATGAGGAAATTGAGGTCAGAGAATTTAAGAAACCTATCTTACGACTCAGAGCAGGTAGAGGGAAGAACCAGGTATTCCAGGTCGTAAGCACTGGGCTCTGGGGGCCAGGGAGTCCCCTGGATTCTCTTTCCTCTCCAGTAGGGTTCTTATTTTCACCTCCAGTGAAGCTTCTGTTTGCTTTCACAGACATCCACAGCCTGATTAGGATGGTCCAGTAGTTTGTGTATAGCTTTCTGTTTTTATCAGCTGAATCTTATGGGTGACTTTGGAGTCATTTTTCTGTGATCTGACTTTGGTCTTCCAGATAAGTCTTCCATTATTCACTTGATTTTTCTTATTTGTAAGATAGCATTTCATGGAAAGCTGGATGCTTGCAGCTCTTAGCCCACTCAAGATACATAGACATAGGGCCTGGCGCAGTGGCGCAAGTGGTTAAGGTCCTCGCCTTGCATGCCCGGGATCCCATATGGGCGCCGATTCTATCCCGGCAGCCCTGCTTCCCTTCCAGCTCCCTGCCTGTGGCCTGGGAAAGCAGTCGAGGATGGCCCAAAGCTTTGGGACCCTGCACCCGCGTGGGAGACCCAGAAGAAGAGTCTCCTGGCTCCGGATCGGCATAGCATTGGCCGTTGCGTTCACTTGGGGAGTGAATCATCGGACGGAAGATCTTCCTCTCTGTCTCTCCTCTCTGTATATCCGCCTTTCCAATAAGAAAATAATAAAAAATAAATCTTAAAAAAAAAGATACATAGACTTCATTCAGTTCCTGCATACTTCTGCCACCAGGAGGTCAAGTCTGTTTATGATGCTTAGACATTTCACTGTTTCCCCAACTCTCAAGCAGCTCTGAATGTATTCTCTGTCATATCTTCACAATTATGGTTTATTTTCTAGGAAATTTAATAGTGTGTCAATTCATCTACCCTTTAGCTTGGTGTTTTTTAAAGCTTGTTTTCTTGTTCTCCTTGAGCCTGCATTTCTCATGCTGCCATGCCTTCTGTTCCACCTCCTGGCTCTTAATAAAGAGCAGGAAGAAATGCCCTATCTCCCCTAGGCTACGAAGAAATTCTCTTCTTTCTAGGATTTCTATTCAGGACATGTATTTTAGGAAGACTTTTTCTAACCTGTCAGTATATTTGAAAAGAGCTGCAATTAACTGTATGATACCACCAGTCGGCTTCAAAGTGTTTTTATATTCTCTGTTCCTGTGATTCCGTGAGGGATTGCTAGACCCTCAGTTTGCTTCCATACCTCGTTTTCTGCTTCTGGCTCTTTGCTCTTTCCCTTTTGTAGGAAGAATGAGGTAGTGGTTGGGTAGGAGTTGCCCTCAGAGTAGAATATTGTTGGATTGGTTCAGGGTTGGGGAACGTCCAATCCTGCAGGTCATATAAGGCCCATGAAATCATTTGGTCTGTCTCTGCTGAGGCAATTGAAGGTGGACTAGACAGCCAATAAATTTATAGTAGGCTAACTTTTAAGTTGATCATTTGTATAGCCCACCCAGGGTGCTTTAAATACCTCAGTAACTATTGGCAGAAAAAGAGTTCCCCACCTCTGGTTTGGATGGACATTCCCAGAGGGGCATGCTGGTGAGAAATCACCAGTTCATTAGGTTTCTCCAGATGTTGTAGTTATTTAAAACATGACGCAGTGTGAGCAGCCGTCTCTGTGATTATACTCATTTCATCCGAATCTTGTGTCTCCAGCTCAGTAGGCCATTTCCACTTTCCTCGACAGGCACTGTTTTTTCTCTTTTGTAGACCATGTTCTCTTGAATGTTACCAGCTCTGAATATAACACGGTCTCCCAAAGCCTCAAGTTCTAATTCATTTTCATCCTGTTGATCCTTGAAGTTTCAGATATGCATTTGTTCTTTTCCCTTAGCACTTATTATTTTGGCTATGAGTCTTAAATTGAACTTTTTGGGGGAACTACATGAAAACTTTGGGTAATTTCTTGCTGCTATGCACGTTTGGAGAAAGTTATGTGTAGATTATCCCACTGCTACAAAGTCATTATATTTCAGGATTGGAAAAGGATATTGGAGAAAGTGTAAAGCATTGGCATCTGTTGATAGTTCTGACATAATTGCAAGTTGGCTCAGTCTGCGAGTAAGTTTGCTGTTTTGGTCATCAGGTTCTCAGAACACATTCTCAAAAATCAGCAGTATCATCTCCAGTTCTTTTTTGAGCACTACTCTCTTTCCAAATAGAACTTAGGATGAGATGCCAAGAACAAACGTGTAAAATGGTGTTGTTTTACAGGCATGTATTTTATAGGCTCAAATCTATCATTCTTTCTCATTGTGAAGTTGAATGGTGAGACTAATTAGATGATTTCCATACTTCAAATTGAGAGGCTTGGGTGGGAAGTAGAGCTTTATTAGTATCTAAATAGAAGTCATTTTTGCCTTGTGCAGAGGAAATTTGTGCAGACTCCCAGTCTCAGGATCTTCTTTAATTAAACAGTAAAGGGGTTGGCATTGTTAAACCTCTGCCTGTGACATCAGCATCTCATACAAGTGCTGGTTTGAGACTGGCTACTCCACTTCTGACCAAGCTCTCTGTCAATGTGCCTGGCAAAGCAGCAGAAGATGGCCAAAGTGCTTGGACCCCTGCCACCCACATGGGATACCTAGATGAAATTAAATTCCAGGCGGCTGACTTCAGCCTGGCCCAGCACCAGGTTGTAGCCATTTGGAGAGCCTATGTATGAAAGCTCTTTCTCTTTTCATTCTTTCTCCCTGCCTCTCTCTTAGTCTCCCCTCTCTGTAACTCTGCATTTTAAATAAACGAATTTTTAAAAATGGAATTAAAATTTTAATTAAGCATAAGTAGCAGGGAGAATGCATCTCACCAAGTGTGTCCTCAAACTGATTTAATGTGTAGATGGAAAGATGCCATGACTAGCAAGAGCCTTGGGACGGGAAAGGAAAGTACTTCCAAGCTCCATCATAACAAAAATCTGGAAAGTCAGGAGAGTTTCCTATGGCAAGAGGCATCAAGGGTAAATTACTTTGGGAAGTGGGGTGGAAGGCAGAATGGGGTTTTAGGTAAGGGGAACAGTGTTCCTGGAGCCGTGGGAAAGAGAAGGGTAAATCCTGGGATTGAAGTGGCCCCAGGCCCAAAGCATGGCATGAGAGTATAGTGTGTGCAGAGAGCTGGGCACAGGGACTTTGGGAGGCAGATGTCAGGGACTTCTAGTCTAAGAACAGTGGGCAGCCACTGACAGGGTTTACTTGGTATTTTCAAATATTTGCTATGACAGTTGGGAGTGGGAGGGCAAAAATTAGTTACCTGAGAGATAAATGGCCCATTATAAGGAAGTAACGTGGGAGGGGCATGTCTGTATTCATGTGTAAATGGAATTGAGGCATACTGAGAAGACAGGATCAATAGACTTGGTGATTAATGAATGGATTGATTGAATGTATGAGGAATGTAGATTGTATACCAGTATCTGACATGGATACCTGTGCACTAGCCAATGACAATGAGGATAAAGGGGAGGGATCAGGGCTCTGAGGGACTACGGAAGAGGGAGAATCCATGCTGGAGGATGTTTCAAGATGGAGGGAGGGCCAAGCAAGAAGAAGACTGAAAAAAGTCTGTGTGTGCAAGAAGTGTTTATAAAGCTGGGAAGAGAAACTACTGGAAAATTAGCTGGAAGTCAGACACAGAATTGAGGATGGAGCTGGAAGAGAGCTGGGCAGGAGCAATGAGCTTAGGCCAGTTCAGAATAAAGTTGGGCTGAAGGTAGAAGGTACATCTGTTGCAAAGGTTGGGCTGGTATAGGGAGGGGCACTTGGAAGTATTGAGAGCCCTGAACAGGCCTGAGTGTCCACAGGATGTGGTCAATAGGACAGAGTCTGGGTCGACATTTTGAGGGCAGAGTGGGGACAACTGAGTTGTAGTCATGAGGATCTGTGAGGATTCCCAGTAATGACAGAGAGATGGCCCCAGTGACACAGAGTGACACAGGGAGGGTAAAATGGTGGGTGTTAAAGCACTGCTTTGTAGTATTGAATTATGTTCTTTTTAAAACCCTCTCTCTGCAGACACTACCCAAAGCAGTCCTTCACGACGGTGGCAGACACACCTGAAAATCTACGTCTGAAGCAGCAGAGTGAACTGCAGAGCCAGGTAGTTTCTAGAAGGCCTGTACCATTGCATTTTTGCTGAAAATTAATTAGAAGTCTGTTCTTCTGAGATTGTTGCCATCATGCTGTTTACGAGCGTCTCTAGCCCCCAAGAAACCTCCAGGCAGATCCGTGGGGAGTTCCAGGTGAAGGTGTTGAACAGTTTGTTTCTACTCCTGGTATGCCTGGATATCCTCAGAAGTGCTGTGCATGTGGAACTAGGGCAAGTGAGTGAGTTCTGGTCAGAGTGTTTCCCAACAACTCTGATGTATTTGGTCCTAAATATTTAAAAACATTGGATAAATAGCTTTTCCACACCACATATGTAGGGAAGAAGCCAGGTGTCAGTTTGACCCAGTTGCAATGTGAGTGGGGCTCACACCCTGTCTGTGCATCTCACACCAGCCTCTAGCTGTGTTGGCAGTGCTGTCACTTGATTCATACTTCTCTTATGTATGACACTGACAGCAGGAACAAAGATTAGAACTCCACAGTTGGCTCCCAGTCAACCATTTTTGGATGACAACTTGCCTTCAATATGGTGAAACACATCCATTAAGACTAGAGCTTTGAATGGCGGACACTGCAACAGGGACATTTGATACATCCTGATACCTTAGAGAAAGATGCTGGCAGCTGCATAGCAGCCCTTTGGCCGACAGCATAGGAAGACTGTGTGTGGAGGGAGGAGGTAGGCTGTGTTGCAGGCTGCCGTGGCCTTTTCATTGGTTTGGCCCAGGACTGTCTCCCCTGATTCTTTGTGTTTTTGTAGAGTGAGGCAGCATGTGTCTTCTGCCTGCTTTGAGGGTAACAACAAGTGTCCAATGAGGCAGGTGGGTGGGAAAGCATTTTGAATAGTTAAAAAATTGTGTGCTAGTGAAGATTGCTGCTGTTCACAGTGATGGTGAGGATGACGGTGGCTGTACGGGTGGTAACAGTCCCTGAGAATCCCTTGATGGTTGCAGCAGTCCCTGAGAATCGTGTGAAAAAGGAGGAGAGCAGAATTTGTGCAAGGAGGAGTCATCCAGCTAATGGCCTTTGAAAGTGTGTCTGCAGTTCTTCCTAATGAGAGTCATCAGCTGCTAGTCACTCTGGATCGAATGATTTCCCAGTAATGTGCTTTACCTAATTGCATAGGAGATTGTGATTCCCTCCATTCTCTTTCTGGGGGGCTTGAGACCACTTCTCAGTCCATTTAATGAGAGGAAGTAGAACTCGATGCAGAATTTATTGCTGATTGATGATGCTGCGAAGACTTGGTTAGGAGCTGGTTTCTTAGTTTGTGTGAAATCCCAGTGTTTATGTGCTAAGCCTTGAGTTCCAAAGGTTGGGTACTGTCCAGAGAGAGACAGTGTTACAGAGAGCAGCGTGCACACCCGTGCTTACTCACTCACATCACCGTGGTGCCAAGATTCAGTTCCAGTGTGTGCGGATCCAATAGCTTTCTTCTCATCAAGTTAGCAGTAATCAGAGAATCCAGGAGAAATGCTCAGAGCACTTTAAAAAATAGAGCTAAGGCTAGCAATCAAATACTTGTTTCCTGCCTGTCACATGCCAGGGCCCTGTGCAAGAGGATTTGTAATTTGCTGATCTTGCCTTCACAGAGTTTCTAGGGTGCCTGGGAAAGAGGCCTCACACGCAGCATGGCTGTGTTTGGTCAGCCAGGGAAGGCTCTTGTGTGAGTTGGACTGCATTGTGCCTTGTGCTAGGCCTGAGTTTTACATGGAACCACTAGGGCTGAGAAGAATCCGGGATCAATTCTGTCACCTTCCTTTTGCAGGATGCCCTCCCTCAAGGGAGTAGTCATGGGTGTCCTCAGTGTGCCCTAGGAGCAAGCCCTGGTCATTTTTTTTTTGCCACATACTTGCTTTGGAAATGCAAAGGGGAAAAAAAGGAGGTTGCAGTTTTATGAAATGCTGATTTCAATCTCCCTCAGGTGGCAAGCTGCAAGCTTCAGGAAGCAGGAAATATACACAGTTATAGACTGGTGGGACGAGTGCTAATAAAGATATGTATAAATGGTACTGGGATCTTCAAGCAGTGGTCAGGGAAGATATCATGCTTTTTTAATTTTAAAATATTTTGCTGAAATATGATCAGACATATAAAGAAAAATGCGGGCCTTTATCAGGCAGACAGTGTAGGGAAATTTAAGTTAATTCATGAAGTGTGTGTTGATTGCCTAGTGCATATAAAGAATTGTGCTAGACATTTGGGCTGTAAAGACATCATAATCATCATAAAAGGCCTTGTTGTATTCCAGGCATGTCATCTTGTCATTTTACATGTATCATTTCATGAAATCTCAAACAACTTTGTGAGACAGGTACTTATCATTCTCCATACTTTAGAGAACTTTAAGTGCCTTGTTGTTGTGTTGCTGGTATAGAGTCAATGTGTGCATCAGACTTCTATGTGTGCATCCTCAGTGTCCACATTCCTCACTGGTGCCCTGGCTCCTTTACTCAGACAGCTCTAGCAAAGATCTCAAGCACATTATTGCAACACAGTGGATAATGCAATAAATGTATAAGTAGGATTTTTTGCATCCTATAGTGGAGGTGAGAAGGAGTCAATGAAGTAAAAACACTTCTGTAAAAGAACTTTTATTTTTGCAGAAGCATGGCGAGATATCCTAATGCTCAGTAATGGTATTTAATTGAATTACAATTTACTCAGTTCTGCAACAGAGCATTCCCTTAGAGTGATGATATCTGGAATTCTGAACAAGCTCAACAATCTTGATGGAAGATTGACTGTTAATATATTATGTATTGATTTTGGTAATTGGTGATGCTACATAAATCAAAGATGCTCATAGCACCAAGTCTTCAAATTCTGAAATCTTTTAGAATTGTTTGGTTAAAACTAGTTCATTAGCCTACCAAATGAGCAAAAATGAAGGAAAAGTCTAAATTAATTTTCACTTGAATCTATTAATGTATTTAAAGCTATACATTGTAATCTCTTTCCCCCCTTTTTTTTGTATTAGCCTACATTCCTCTCTTGAGAGGAGATAAATGTAGCCAATATTTGAAAACTAAATGCTAAAGCTGCCAGGCTTTTTAAGAATATGTATTAGGTCTCTAACTGTCACAATAAAAGGACATGAGAGGGCTCATTATGATGCTGGTTCTGGCTAATCCTCTGTTTGTAGAGCTGGCATTCCATATGTGCACCGGATCTGGTCATAAGAACTCCACTTCAAATATGGCTCTCTGTTTATGGCCTGGGAAAGCAGTGGACAATGGCCCAAAGCCTTGGGACTCTGCACTTATGTGGAAGACATTGAAGAAGCTCCTGAGCTCCATCTTTGGACTGGCCCAGCTTTGGCCACTGCAGTTGTTTGGGGAGTCAACCAGTGGATGGAACACATCTCTCTCTCTCTCTCTCAAACTCTGTGACTCTTTCAAGTAAAAAAAAAATCTTTATATATATATATATATATATATATATATATATATAAAGATATATATGTATATGTATATATATAGATAGGTAGATAGGTAGAGAGAGAGAGAACATGAGAGTGAACAAGTAAACCTGGAGTTTGTGATTCAGAACTGATGCTAGCACATGCTTTGCAGGTGTTCTCCAGCTTGTAAATAATTGCTAAGTGTCCACTTGGCCAACCACTGACCTTGATGGCTGTGGACATAAGAGAAGGAGTTGCTCTTTCATCATCACTGCTTCCCTTTTTATTACACATCACAGGCTAAGCTGCATCATAGGCACAGCATCGATGGTGTTGAGGAGCTCCCTGTGGCCTGTGCAGCCCACTCAACAAGTAGTAGAAGTTAAACTTTCCTTCTAGTGAAATTAGACTCTGTAGTTCACCTAGCATGACATGAGACATTTATTGGCTGTCCTGGCCTGACCCTGGCATCTGGCTGGCACCCTTTACAATTTTATTTATTTATTTATTTACTTGCTTACTTACTTACTGGAAAAGTGAGGCCTGAGTTTCAAAACCCTGACTTGGAAACTGAATTTTTTCAAACAGAAATACTTTGTAAGTTGAAGAATCTCAAAATTTTAATAACCAAAGCTGGATCAAAAGCCATTTAGGAAAGAAACTTCAACCTTACATAGTAGAAGATGTTTCCTTCTGTAGGGTGGGAGGAAAAGCCACAACTGTTTGAAGTACTGTGAGTTAGAAGAATGTAGAGACTTCAAAAGCCATGGAAACGAGTCCTCAAAGGGATTTTGAGAGGAGGCCTTCATCAGAGAGCACACTGGCACTTTGGGGCTGAGGCAGAGTGAGGGCCAACCCCTGGCTTCTCTTTGGCTTCCTATGCTCTGGGCCTTTGGCAATCCTGGGCTTTTATAGGGCTGAGTTTTTTTTTTTTTTTTTTTTTTAAAGACTGCTCAAAAAACAAAGGTACAATGCTAGTTCTGTCCCTACTCCAGTTGATTGACTTAGCTGTTTGCAATCAAGCTGAAAATAATAGGAATTTGGGGCTCACCATGTTCTTAAATGAAGTGTGTATAATTTATAAGTGCTGATAAGATGAAAGATTGAAAATGATTATGGATAGGATACAAATCATTCTGGAACCCTTGATTCCTTTTAACCTTCATTTTTTTTCAGAAATGTAAAAAGCATGGCTCATACAGAATATGATATATGATAGTTATAGGTGAGAAAGTAATGAGTTTTTTTCAAGGTCTTATTTAATTATTTAGTTGCATGGCAGAAGGAGAGAGAAAGAGAGGGAAGGAGGGAGGAAGGGAGGGAGGGAGAGAGAGACAGAGAAAGAGAGAAAGGGATCTTCGATTTGTTGGTTCACTTCACAATAGCCTGACCAGATCTGCCATGTGGGTGACTGGGGCCCAAGTACTTGTGCACTAGTAGGGACTTGGAACAGAAGCGGAAGTGGGAGTTGATCCCAAGTATTCTGATATGAAATGCGCTGGTATCTCAGGTGGAATCCTTTGAGCTATAGTGGCCATCCCTGGTATTGTGACTTTTTATAGAGAACAACAATTGGAGATTGTTGTGGA